ATTAATGGTAGCAGCAGTAGTAGTAACAATAATATTGATAGTAATGATAATAATATTAAAAATGATAATAGTAATAATAGAAATAATAATAATAATAATAATAATGATAATAGTAATAATGATAATGATAATAGCTATTATAATGATAATAATAATAATAATTATTATAATGGTAATAATAATAGCAGTAATGATAATAATAACAATGATAGCAATAATTATAATAACGATAATAACAATAATAATTAATAATGATAATGATAATTACAACAAAAATAATAATGATAATGACGATAGCAATAATAATGACAATAATTACAATAAGAACACAACAACGTCAACACTAATTACGAATCATGATCACACACTTCTTATTAAACAATCGAGAACCTTTTTCTTTAATGAACTCATGACTTTGATTTTCGATGTTCATGTACGAGAAATCATAACGATATTACAATAATATTGAAAATGAATATCCCGTGTCCAGTATTCTCTATTCTTATCCTTCCCTTATTTTTTTCCATAAAACTGATAACAAAAAAAATATATAAAAACAATAGATGAAATGAAAGCAATCTACATAACTAGGCTGACAGCAGGAAGGGCATCCGGCTAAGTGAAATTCCACGAATAAAAAAAATCTTTATACGCAGGGTCCCTTCAGTGTCGATCCAGGAAATCTTGACTTTTTCTGTATTGCTGGTAAGCTCTCTTGCCCTGGATGAAGTAGCAGGTGAATCCGATACAGAAGATCTGGCGAGAGAGAGAACATAAGGTTTATTTCTTTTGTTTGTGTGGAAATATCTGTAATTGAGAGTTTGTGATGTTTAGTTGGGTGTTTGAGTGTGTGTGTATATGTGTTTGTTTGTGGGTTTGTGTGTGTGTATGCGTGTTTGTTTGGTTGTTTGTGTGTGTGCGTTTGTTTGTGCTTGTGCGTGTGCGTTTGTTTGTGTGTGTGCGTGTGTGTATGTGTGCATATGTGTATATGTGTATGTGCATATTAACAAAATAATCAACACAATAGTAGACAGAAACAATAATGAAAATAATGACACTAATCCTTATAACGATAAAATATATATATATACAACAAAACAAGGCAGTAGAGATGAACTTTCCGATGTGGACCTGAAATAAAAAGCTGGAAAGAGAAGAAAATAGAATAATGACAAGGAAGGCAAATAAAGAGGGTGAGAGAGAAGGAAGGGGATAACTAGAAGAACGAGGAGAAGAGGGTGACAGTTGAGGCCTGATTGACTGCAATTGAATAAAGATGCTGTCAGGCAATGGGAGAATATTGCGTGCGCATTCTGAAATATAAGAAAAAAAAGGTGCATATTTTTATCTCACTCTTTCTTCCTGTATGTTTGTTTGTTTGTTTGTTTGTCTCTGTGTTTGTGTATCTTTCTGTCTGTTTGATGTCTCTGTTTCTGTTTTTTTTTATGATATTTGTCTATATGTTAGTTTTCTGTCTGTTTTTTTTTCTCTGTCTGTCTGTCTGTGTCTCTCTCCCCCTACCCTCTACCCCCCACCTATCCTCACACCCTCCACCTTCCCCCTTCCCACTTCCCCCACCTTCCCCCTACTCCCTTCCCACCTTCAACTTTCCCCACATTTCCCCCCACTTCCCCCCCTCCCCCACCCCTCTTCCACCCCACCTTCCCTTACCCCAAGACCCACCTTCTCCCTACCCCCCCTCCCCCCCTCCCCCTCTCCCCCCCCTTTCCATTTCCCCCCTCCCCCCAACCTTTCCCCCACTCCACCTTCCCCCCCAACCTTTCCCCCACCCCACCTTCCCCCCCCAACTTTCCCCTCACCCACCCACCCTCTCCTCACCTGGAATAAAGCGATGAAGAGAGCAAGACCAGAGATCCACCCTGCTTTGGTCTCTAAGAACATGGTGAATCCTCGAACGCAGCCGACGTATCCGTAGTTCTTTATGTACCTGTGAATTGAGAGAGAGATGAAAAAAAAAATATATATATATATGTATAAGTTGATAGATTGGTTGGTAGGTTGAGGATGGAGGAAGGGAGGGAGGGAGGGAGGGAAGAAGGAAGGGAGGGAATGAGGGAAGAAGGAAGGGAGGGAGGGAAGAAGGAAGGGAGGGAATGAGGGAGGGAGGGAGGAAGGGAATGAGGGAGGGAGGGAATGAGGGATGGAGGGATGGATAGAGAAATATATACCTGCGAATTGAGAAAAAAAATATATATATAGGTCGCTGATAGATTGGTAGGTAGATTGATGGATGGAAGGGTGGAAGGAGGGAGGGAGGAAGGGAGGGATGGAGGGAAAAATAGGTACCTGCGAATTGAAAGAAAAATAGGAATAAATGAGAGATACGGTTGTTGATGTGATAGATAGGTAGATTGAGGGATGGAAAAAGGAGTAGATGTATAGGTGGATAGATAGAGTGATGGATAGGTAGGTACGTAGGTAGGTAAGTAAGTAGGGATAGGCGGGCAGGTAGATAGTAGATAGATAGCTATATAGACAG